CAGCCACTGTGCCCCCTAGAATCTCCCCCAGAAACTCAGGAAGGTGAGAGGCTGATGACCTGCCACTGTCTAGGTCCTGGATACCTAGGCTGCGACATTCACATTAACGCTCAGTCACCTCTTTTCAAGGTCTAATCAAGGAGCCTGGGTGTTGTTTCTCTAGCCACAACTTAGTTTCTGCCCTTGGTCTCAGAGGTCTTAGACTTCTGCCTTGGAGCCACTCCCCATCTCCTTCCCAGTTTCCTTCCTCTCACATACCACATCTCTTTAGCTTTAAGATGAAAAGCAAAGCCTAACAGCCGGGCCTCATCTCTTCTAGTGTTCCCAGGATCATCTCCTTCCTGCGAATCTGACCTTTGCCTCCTTCACCCTGCAGGGTGGCATGCCTGCTGGAAATGCTTTTCACACTCTTTGGGGAAAGTGTGCACAAATGACCTGCACAGGCAGCGATGGGGAAAAGATGCTGCCAGAGCTGCTGGGCCAAGGAGGCTGGGCTCAATTCAGGAAGCTGGGAAGCATCACTGCTACCCTGGAGCACTCTGCCAGGCAGTTCTCTGGCATGCAACCACCGAGGTATTGCTTTCCACAGGTTTGGAATCAAGGATGCCCCAGAGCAGTCAGGGGCCTGCAGTGGGAGGCCAGTCCAACCTTCACAGGAAGACTTACATTTTTCAGGGCAAGTTCCACATGTGACATGAGTTAAGCTACGGAGATTTTGAATATATTCTGTACCTCATACAGAAGTCAACTTACACAGACAATTAAATCCTTCCGAGTCCTGCCTTCAACAGTCATGACCAGAGCAGCTGCTTCTAGGGAAGTCACAGATGGGATAATAACAGCTGAAAGGGGTTTAATTCAGGGCCAGGCATGTTCTCCTACTGCTGGCCACTTGAGCAGAAAGCAGGAGGAAGCCCTGCACCAGACAACAGTTGCTGAGAGGGACCGTGGATCAGGGTGGACTCATTCATAAAACCTGCAACTTGGCAGCTTTCAACTAAGTAGGCAGATACTAACCCCACTGAGCAAACTCAATAACCTCTTAGGGAACAGTGGAGACCATCCGGCCAAAGACTTCTGACCAGCCTAACAGGAGTCACTAAGTCTAAGCACAAAAGCCCATGAGGCCAGGGGTGGTGGCTCATGCCTGTAATCCCAGCACTTTGGGAGGCCAAGGTGAGTGGGTCACTGGAGACCAGGAGTTCCAGACCAGCCTGGCTGACATAGTGAAACCCCACCTCTATTAAAAATACGAAAAAGTTAGCTGGGCATGGAGGCGCATGCCAGTAGTCCCAGCTACACGGGAGGCTAAGGCACCAGGATCACTTGAACATGGGAGGTGGAGATGGCAGTAAGCTGAGATCACACTGCTGCACTCCAGCCTGGGTGACAGAGCAAGACTCCATCTGAAAAAACAAACAAAAACAAAAGCCCAGAAACTCCTTTCCTGGGAGGTCCTCCCTCTCAGACCCTGGCCATACATGGCACAGTTTTAGAACTCTTGGGTCTTTTTCAATCTCATAAATTCTTAGCATTCCATAGACAAGCACCCTGAGAACAATGAGACAGCTTGGAAGTGAAGGGGGAGACAGAAACTGGACAGAACTTGAAAAGCACAGTGGCCCAAGCAAGTCAAGGGAGCGCCAGCATGACAAGTGATGTTACAGATGCTGCACCTGAGCTCACAAGAAGCCGGCACATAACTATTGGCTGACCATTAGCCCCGTTGGGAAAAACATGGACATCTCAAGAGCATCTACCTGCCACCCACCACCACCCCCATCGACTCCTAGGGTTCTGCAAACAGGAAGAAGCAAGCAATTTTCCCAGCAATTAAAGATGTGCCAATTACAATAAGAAAGTATCAATTTATAGCTGTAAAGATCAATAAATAATGAAACCTGTTTCAAAACAAATGACCCAGGGCTGGCAGGGCCATAGGCACACAGCAACACTCCTATGCTGTGGTAGTAATGCTTAACCAGTACTATCCTTGGAAAGCGAGGATACTGAGCCCCAAAAATGTCAGCCTTTGCCCTAGTCATAGCTAAATCCTGAGGACTTTGCTGAAATAATTAAAAAGGAAAGGGGAAGATTATGGAAAGAAAGTTGTTTCATCAATAAAATTTGTAATAGTTAAAAGCTAGGAAATTAAAACCATGTGTCCAACAATAGGGATGCTATGACTATTTGTGCCCTACAAACTCACATTGAAATATAATCCCCAATATGGCCGTATTAGGCAGTGGGGCCTTTAACAGATGATTCAGGCAGGGTACTGTGGCTCATGCCTGTAATCCCAGCACTTTGGGAGGACAAGGTGGGCAGATCATCTAAGGTCAGGAGTTTGAGACCAGCCTGGCCAACATGTTGAAACCTGTCTCTATTAAAAATACAAAAAAATCAGCTGGGTGTGGTGGCAGGTGCCTATAATCCCAGCTACTCAGGAGGCTGAGGTAGGAGAATAGCTTGATCCCAGGAGGCAGAGGTTTTAGTGAGCTAGGATTGTACCATTGTACTCCAACGTGGATGACAGAGCGAGACTCTACCTTAAAAAAAAAAAAAAAAAAAAAAAAAGAGGTGATTGGGTTATGAGGACTCTGTGTTTATTAATCCATTCATGCATTAGTGGATTAACAGGTTAATGGATTAATGGGTTATCATGGGAGTGGGACTGGGGGCTGTATAAGAAGAGGAAGAGAGACCTGAGATAGCCTGCTTTGCCCCTCACCATGTGATGCACTAGGCTGCCTTGGAGGACTCTGTAGAAATTCCCCATTAGCAAGAAGATCCTAATCAAATGTGGACCCTCAACCTTGGACTCCTCAGCCTCCTTAACTGTGAGAAATAATAATAATTTTCCTTATACATTAACCAGTTTCAGATATTCTATTGTAAGCAACAGCAAATGGACTAAGACAAGGGAAATACTGGTATGCAATTCAGTGAAACATATAGTCGGTTAAAAGAGAAAAGGCAATTTTTAGAATTACATTAACTGGGGGGGAAAGTAGAGCAGGAAATTATACAAGTACAATGATTGTATACAAATGGATAAAGATTGAGAGGAACCACAGAAAAACATAAATAGCTGTGTTTGGGTTGTAGGATTATAAATGTAATTTCTTTACCATTCCTGCTTAGTTTTTTGTTTTTTGGTTTTTTTTTTTCATGATAGACTTTTAAAGAAGTGGCTCAGCCTTTCCAGCAAGGTGCACTTGTCACTCCCTGGTGGGAATCAACATGCTGACTTCTGACCCTCAGCTTCTCTCTGGGTCAGGCAGGGCAGGCACCCACTAATCCAACCAGCTGGAAGGTCAGTGGGAAAAACACAGAAGACAATGGGAGCTAGCGAAGGGGAGAGCACAGGCAATTCTATACATTTAAACATTGAGATGGGTAATTTAAGAATCGAATGCAAGAGTATGCAAATGCCCATCTGCTACTTAAATCTATATTCTGCCAATACCAGAGCATAGTTCTCAAATTAGAATGATCTCAAATGTTAGGTGGTCCCCTCAGGCTGTACGCAGGTTAAGGATGGCTGCCTGCTTTACAGATGAAATCTAAAGCTCAGGAAATTGAGGTGACTTCCCCAAGGGCACAAAATCAGGGATTCCTGAGACAGATTCTGTCACTCCCCTGCTGCCAGGCAGATACATACATGCTTATGAGGCGCAGAACATTCTGGTTTTTTTTTTTCTTTCCCCAGACGGAGTCTTGCTCTGTCGCCCAGGTTAGAGTGCAATGGTGTGATCTCCGCTCACTGCAACCTCTGCCTCCCAGGTTCAAGCAATTCTCCTGCCTCAGCCTCCCTAGTAGGTGGGATTACAGATGCCTACCACCATGCTTGGCTGATTTTTGTATTTTTAGTAGAGATGGGGTTTCACCATGTTAGCCAGGCTGGTTTCAAACTCCTGACCTTGTGATCCGCCAGCCTTGGCCTTCCAAAGTGCTGGGATTACAGGTGTGAGCCACTGTGCCTGGCCAGAACATTCCTTACATGGGCCTTGCTGCTTGACTGGACAGAGCCACTGTGACTTGTGCCACAACCCAACTCAAACTCTATTTTGTCCCAGAGCCCCGCCTGCCCAGGAGGATACCATTGTGGCCAGCCAACTCCTAGAGTCTTGGGGCCATCTATCCAAATTCCATCATGTACTGTGAAGTCTTCCTCTGCTAAGCCAGCATAAGGCCAACCCGCCTCACACTCACAGCTGTCTGCACAAGCCATGTGGACTCGAGTCCTGGTCCTGCCACTTCCTGGCTATAGGATCTTGTAAGTGACCTGGCCTCTCAGTGTTCTTGTGTATAAAATGGGGATTATAAGAGTGTTTGTGTGACAGCATTGTTATGAGGATTAAATAAGGTACAGAAGTACTTGGCTTGCACAATGAATACAAAATAACCTCTCTGCATTAGTAAGACATTCCCCTCATCATAGTCTTTAAAGATTGAACAAGACAACAGATACAAAGCACCTAGCAAATTCTTGGCTTACAATAGGGCTCTCTCAATAATAGCTATTATTATAACAATAAAGGTGTCACTCACAGCGCAAACGCAGTGGACTTTCCCCCGGAAAGGGCCAGAGAAGAGTTTCACAGAGCCCCTCCTCATAGTACACATCCCTCCCTGACAGCCTCCCCTGGCCTGATCCCACCCTCCGTCCCCTTGACCCTCCCACATGCTTCTCCAGCCAGGAAAAGACCCCAGCGCAGTCATTTCTTCCCTTTGATCAGACGGTCCAGTGAAAGCCAGACTTAGGCCATCGCCCTCTGCCCCAGCTACTCAGCAAGCTTGCCTCTCCTTTGGCTCAGTTGCAGGAGGAGGATAGGGGTAACTGAGGCAGAGGGGATCTGCCCACCATTGAATTCACCTCCTCTGGGCTGAGCTTAGCCCTGGCTGCTGCTGCCCCCTGGGGCTTGTGGCTAGAGCTTCCACCACCCTGCCTGCCCCTGCTGCCCCCTAACCCTTCAGGTCCTGGGGACCCCACTCACAGCTCAAGGATGAGCACCACGTCGGTGCGGTTCTCGTAGACGTCGTGCAGAGTGATGACGTTGCGGTGTAGCACCTGCCGCAGGATGCTCACCTCCCGCTCGATCTCCTCCCGGCTCACACCACGCCGGCTCGCCCGGCTCTGCCGCTTCTTGATGAACTTAGCTGCATACTCAAGACCCGTGCTCTTCTCCCGGCACTTCTTCACGATGGCGAACTGACCACTGGGGACACAGACCCACAAGACTAGGTCATCACTGGGTTCACTGGGGAAGTGACCCCACTGCCAGCTACCAGGTCACACAAATTCAGAGTGATTCTTCTAGGACAGGACAAATCATGCCTCCAGTCTGCATCCCCATCTGGATGACAACCTGTGGCCGAGATGGGACAGGTACTGGGCTTCCCTTCCGTCCATACCTTCTATGTGGAATGTATGTTAGTATTAGTCCCAGTGTGCAGAGTTGAACACTGAGCCCCAGAAAGGTTATTGATCAGGATGACACAGCCTTGTCATTGCAAAGTCTCGACTAGAACCCAAGTCTAGGATCCACCGGATGAAATCACAATGTGCATAAGCAGACGGGGCTGGTGGGGATCTGGGTTTGGGTGGGGTTTGGGGAGGAGACAGCCTAACAAGGTTAATCATCATAGTGGGAGAGCATCACAGTGAGAGGACCTGGTATGAACAGAGAGTTGTACAATTAGGAAACTGAGGCAGAAGGATAGGCCAAGTGGCTCACCTGAGGTCATTGCAGAGTTAATGGCAAAGCCAAGCCTCAAAGTCAAATACCCAACAAGCTGTCCACAAAGCCAAAGATAGTTATAGCAAGGCTGGACCATTGTTAGTCCCCTTCAGGCACTAGCACCCAGGGCTGGGCTTGGAAACCCTTCACTGTGCTCAACCTGTGGAGAGGGGCCTCGGAGGGTATTTGCTACCCAAAATTACCACTGCTTGGGTAACTCAGAAAGTGTTCTGGTTCAGCTTAATGGCTGAATAAGGGGACAGCAGACTCCAGACTTAGGATGTACGCTGTTAGTGGCTCTGGTGTAAAAGTTACATACAAGGAAATGCTTGGGATATTTGCCCCAACCGCAAAAAACAGCACTGCATCTGGACCATGTCATCATTATCATCATCCTCAGTGAGACAGTCTTCAAAATACTCGGAGTGGCAATAACAACAACAAAGTCAAATTGAGCAAGCAACAGATAGATAGGCCAACACTGAGATAGCATTACATGGCAGCCACTTCAGAGATGTTCCCAGATTCATGCATCTCTCCCTCCCCTCAACTTCCAGTCACTCAACACTGTCTGGGCATCCACTCTGTGCCAGGATCTGTGCTGAGCACTATGCGGAAGGGACCAAAGGCACAGACAATGGGTACAGATGGAGCTCTGGGGAGGGAGAAGACTCTGGAGGCTAGACTGGGCAGAGAAGGCTTAGTGGAGCCAAATTTATATTACACTGTCCACTGACTCTAAAGTTTCAGCTATTTAGGCTCCAAATACTGGCTCTGAGCCATCCACACATTAGGGGCTGACACAGGTGGAGTGGAGCCAGGCCTCCCAGAGCCAGAGTGAACACATTCAGTGTGATCTCTAACACATATGGTCTCTTGGAGCCACTCTGGGCCTCGGGGACAGCAGGTGCCTTGGTAGGTGCCAACAAACACTTGACCAAGCTTCAAGGCCCACGTGGCTGTGAGTCTCAGGGTCAAGACAGCCACACGGCTCTCCTCTCCTTCTGACACCTCAAGGGATTGCTGGCAGGGTCTGGCATTTCAGAGTCCCTGTGACCTTGTCACAGCAGCCCTGAGTTCCTACTTGACCAGTGGGGAAAGGATGGTAAGGGATAGATTTAGGTTTACAGAGCACACAGGTGGTGGTGCAGGGCTTGGCTTGGCATCCAAATCCCCCAGCTCCCAGCCCTGCACTGTGTTGACAGCTTTAGGACTTGTGAAGGGGCAGAAGAGCTTCTGTAAACTAGAGCTAAGCATTTCAGGTCCCCTTGACATTGTTTCCCCTTTGTCTTATGAGGAAAACAGAGGGATTTTTTTTCTATATCACATGCCTGAAAAATTCCTCAGACTCTCAAAAAGCAAATGAATGTTTGCTTTTCCAGCCTAAGTTTTCTCTTTTCGAGACAACTGTGGCAATGAGTGGTGACTGGGGCAGGCCCGCATCTTCCCCTCCCCAAAGGAGGAATTTGAGAGTGGGTGACTAAGATGACACCAAATACCACACAACACCACTCACCTCACCTCTCTGCACTTGGGCATGACCCTCTGCTCAACCTGTGGAGGGGGGCCTCAGAGAAAGCCAAGGCTGCTGGCTAGTGTCCCCCTCTCCTCGGCCTGTTTCCAGAAGAGAGGAGAACACCCATTACTAGACTCAGCCCCCAGGCTTCAAGGTCAGACAGTCCTGGTCTCAGGGACTCATGCTTTCACCTGGGAACAGTCACTACCTGCTCTGAACATAGATCTTCTCATCTGTCAAATGGGAATCAGGATTCCCTGCTAGAGAATTATGAAGACTGGAAATATTTGTAATATTGGCCCATGGTACTAATAAGTGGTTCATGTGAAGGCTGAGTAAGAAACACCCGGAGATATAAGTCACTGATTCAAATGGTCTGGAATGTGTAACCAGGGAATTGGTTTAATTTTATTTATGTTTAGAAATGGGGTCTGGCTCTGTTGCCCAGGCTGGAGTGCAGTGGCATAATCATAACTCACTGCAGCCTCAACTCCTGGGCCCAAGCAACCCTTCCAACCTCAGCCTCCCAAGTAGCTGGGACCACAGGCGTGTGCCATACCACCCACCTTCAGTTTAATTTTAAAAGCACCACCCCACCCCCTGATGATTCCCATGCACAGCCAGATGTGAAAACATCTCTGTTCCAAGCAATTAGCCAACTCTTTTAATCCTAGAGCAGTGGCTCTCAACCCAGGCCACACATTAGTATTGCCTGGAGAATTTTAAAACTGTTAATGTCTAAGTCTCAGTCTGAGAGTTTCTGATCTCCTGGGTCTGGGCTGCAGCCTGAAGACAGGGCTATTTAAAAGCCCGCCAGGTAACTCTGACATGCAGCCAGGGCTGAAGGATACTGACTTACAGCAGCTTTTTTATCTCCATTTCGCAAATGAAGAAACTATACCACTGTTACTCATACTATTTCTTCCTTCGCAGTATTAAACTTCCCTATAGTTCTTTGATGTGATCATTTCAGGAAAGTAAAGAAAGGGAATCAGAGGGGTGGGGTTGTCTCTCCCATCAGCATGATTTTTGCTTGAAGGGTTCAACAGTCTAAGTGCTGTGTTACAAATTTACAAATCTGACAGCTTACTCTAGATTTTGGAGGATAACAGGAGTGAAAGTTTGCAGTGAGGCACTCCCTGGCCACTGTACTCGGCAGATGCACAAAAGCAGAACCTGATGTGGCTCTGGTATGCCCATCAGAGGGCCCAGCCAACCTGAGGGCAGATGAAGACAGTGATGGTGATGGGCACTTGTCTGCACACAGAAGGCTCTGCAGCCAGAAGCTGAGACCCTGAAGTACAAAAGTCGCCAGCTAGACTACAGGGATGAGGGGTCGGAGGCGAGGGCCTGTCCACTTTAAGGACAGAGGCACGCAGAATGATATCCAGGGAGTGAGCAGAGGGGAGCAATTCCACCTCTAATGAAGGTCACTGCTAACCTGAAACTAAAAAGTATGGGAATACTGGAATCTGGTACACATATGCAAAGCACACATATTCCAGTATCTCTGCCCCCTCCCGCCCCCTTCTCATAGCAACAATCAATACCTGTGCATGGTCGACTGCAGCACAGGGCTGGTAACAAGAAGGTCCAATTCCTGGTCCTGACCTGCTATCAGAGTTTCATGGGCTTGGCAAGGAGCTGTCTTTTCAGTTCATGTTTCTCCATCTGCCACCTTAAGTCACCTTAGACAGCTTCCTGTCAGCTGGGCACGGTGGCTCATGCCTATAATCCCAGCACTTTGGGAGGCTGAGGCGGGTGGATCATGAGGTCAGGAGTTCAAGACTAGCCTGGCCAAGATGGTGAAACCCTGTTTCTACTAAAAATACAAAAATTAGCCGAGAGTAGTGGCAGACATCTGTAATCCCAGCTACTAGGGAGGATGAGGCAAGGAACTGCTTGAACCAGGGAGGTGGAGGTTGCAGTGAGCTGAGATCACATTGCACTACAGCCTGGGTGACAGTGTGAGATTCCATCTCAAAGAAAAAAAAAAAATGCTTCCTGTCAGAAGGCTCCAAAAAGCCTGGGATAACTCTAAACAGGAATGAAGCCCTTCCCTTCACTCTCCAAATCCCTAACTCTGGGCTGGTGTCAGGAGACTGGGAATCTAGTCAGAGCCCTACCACTCATGAGCCAGGACCCTGGGCAGCCTGTTCAACTCCCCAGGCCTCAGTTTCCTTCTTTGTCACATAAGGATGATTACACCCGCCCTGCCCATGTCCCAGGGTTGTTTGGGAAATCATGAGATAATGTCTGAGATAGGACTTTACCATCCAGCCTTGCAGAAGAGCATGAGGCATGGGTGGGTGGGAACTCTGTGCCTGAGACTGGCTTACAGAAGTCATGTAGGATGGTTTCATGAGGGACAGTAAATCTGCAAGACACAGAAAGCACCCACTTCTGCCAGCACACTCTCCTGCAATTCTGTCAGAAATACACCCATCTTCCCAGGCAGAGGCCTCAGCTCCTCACTCACTCAGCACCCAGGAGGACTGAGTGGGCTGTGTAGAGATCAGTGTCACTGGCAGATGGGCCTCATTCCCAAACTTGTCAGGCCCCCAGGTGGTGCCTCATAAGGGCTCTCTAGTTGTCTGCCCAGTCCTCACATGAAAAGGAGTACACCTAGAACAGCTTCTCAGTGCTCAGAAATGTCCCTATCCTCAGCTTTTAAGGTTCATGGAGGAGCCTGGCTTAATCCCCACCCCCTAAATTCTTCACAGTCAAGGGTGAATAACCAGGGCATGACCTAAATGTCACACCATGGGATAGATTTTGTACAGCAATGTGAACATTACAACATTTACATCCAGTTTTTCTCTTAATAAGCTAATTTCATATTCATCCTCTTTTAAAATATTTGCAAGTATAATTTTTAGTTCCATATCACAGAGAAGAAAACTGGAAAGGTAAAGGTGGCTTCTGCCTGTCATCCCAGGGCTTTAGGAGGCTGAGGTGGGTG